CTCTTTCATGAGTACTTTGATCATTCACAGCCATGGAGATAGAAAGAGTGTGGGCGTGGCGGCAAAAATGCAGTGCGCCATGGGCACACATGGTAATGTTTAAAAAGTATATCAGTAGAGGGGATCGAACCCTCGATCTCAAGCGTGTGAAGCTTGCGTCCTAACCACTAGACGATACTGACCTTTGATGATTTCCATGCTCATCGAACCGACCCGTACAGAAATTGCATACATATAATTGCCGAAACTTATACCAACAACAACTATAACAAACCAGTCATCCACAGTACTTGTACACACACATGCTCCCCTATCACCAACGATGCGTCGCACAGGCATCTATCGCTATTTTATCGATAGTGCAGTATGCCAATCAAGTACTTCTACAACGCTGGGTTGCTTTCAAATAAATTTCTTTCGACAATGTGATTTTTCTCGTACAATCTGCCCACATATCATCGATATAGTAGCCCTGGAAATCATACTAAGCTCCATGGATAGCATACCATTACAAGAAAAGTATACATGGACGCATTCCTGTCTTGGATTCCACTAAAATAAACTTTGTGATGACAATTCGCATGTTTTTTTTACGGGCCCCATTGTCATCATTAGACGATGTCAAGCGCTATACTTCATCTGATACAAGGCCAATGCCAATTGAGCTCCAACCCGTCCAATTTCATTAGAACTCGATTATTTGTCATTTTAAAACTACCAAGTCGAATGCATCGTGCTAGATGTCGATATTGATGATGCGATGAGGTGTTTCGAGACCTCCGAAACATTCTCTATCGACATGCCATTTATGAGCGACTTCATTTCCGAGCCTGAAGTTGGTCTTGCGAGATCTCGGGCGTGCCAAAGCGAGCCCAATATCCCAAAAATACACAACAAAAAATTGTCGATTAATTTTCTCTTGATAAGCGCAGCATTGCCATATAGCCCCATGAATGTCAATATTTTTCTAGACGAATAACATGACGAAAAAAATAGTTTCGTGTCCAAAGAAGCCATATAATGACTCTAAAATGTCTGTTCTCTTTCATGAGTACTTTGATCATTCACAGCCATGGAGATAGAAAGAGTGTGGGCGTGGCGGCAAAAATGCAGTGCGCCATGGGCACACACATGGTAATGTTTAAAAAGTATATCAGTAGAGGGGATCGAACCCTCGATCTCAAGCGTGTGAAGCTTGCGTCCTAACCACTAGACGATACTGACCTTTGATGATTTCCATGCTCATCGAACCGACCCGTACAGAAATTGCATACATATAATTGCCGAAACTTATACCAACAACAACTATAACAAACCAGTCATCCACAGTACTTGTACACACACATGCTCCCCTATCACCAACGATGCGTCGCACAGGCATCTATCGGCTATTTTATCGATAGTGCAGTATGCCATCCAGTACTTCTTACAACGCTGGGTTGCTTTCAAATAAATTTCTTTC